CAATTCACGCTGCCAGAAATTTGGAAACAACATGCTCTACTGCTTGCCAGAAGCTTCAATATGATGATTTCAGAGTTTTTAGGCGTCAATCTGAGGAGAGTGCAGAGAATTTGGAAAGAGTTGGATAATATATCTAGTCAACATTATGATGAATTAATTTAAATTAAATTAGCTAAACAAATTTCATCAAAGGTTCGCTGTGGTTTTTTCTCTGCTGAAGTTCGGATTATTTTTCAAACTTGGCCTATGTTTCGAGCTGCGTGTAAAGACGTTCTCCCTCCCCACCAAATTAATTCAATTATTTACAAATATGTTTTTTAGTTATGGAGCCAACTACATAGGGAGAACAACTCATCGCTTAGACATGAGAATAAAGCAGCACGTTCCTACTAAAATTAGAAACCACACCCTGCCTTTGAATGGACTCGTCCCTAACACCCTACAGTTCCATTTATATGCGAACATCTTTTAAATAGCAGAGATTGTGCAGCCAAATTTAGTGTTGACTGGTTCACCGTGTTGGCCCGGTCACACTCTGTATTTCATCTGAAGGTTCTGGAAGCCTTCTTTGTGCAAACAACGTGAGTGTTTGCTGGGACTAGCTGTCATCTAGTTCCTTCTCATATATATATATATATATAGTTCCTTCTATATATATATATATATATATATATTTTTTCCCCTATTCCTTATTGTACATTTTTCTGTATTAATTTTGAATCTCCCATTGAAACCTGAAGAGCAGGAGCGAAACCGGTTGCTTCACCCCTGTTGTTGTTTTTTTTTTTTTACTTTTTTTTTTTTTATTGTTTAATATGTCTTGTAATATTAAATTTTATACTTTTATTTCGAGATATATATATATATATATATATATATATATATATATATATATATATAGTAATGTAATAAGTAATATTGAGGACATTGTGGCATGCTGTCTGCCGGTTCTCTCTCTTTGGCTCATCCAAAAAGTTTGGTCGATTCTACACAAGCATTCACCATGATAATCACAGCATATGAAACTGGCAGTCATGGTCGGTCACTGTCAACTTGAAATTTGATTTAAAATATATTAAAGATCTGCCATATTTTATGTCATTGGGCACTCTTTTTTCTTGTGTGAAATCTTAAGCAAACTTAATAATAGTAATAAGTAAATGCTCTGTTTATAATAAGCAGTATTAACAACAATTACCAGCCTGAATGTCTGAGAAATTTTCATAGAAAATATGTCTCCACCAACAGGAACTGAAACTGTATCCTACATGGAACTGTCATATAGCCTGATGTGCTATACCAGTTTAGCTACAGAGGAGTGTCTGGTAAGCAAGGTCAATTTTACTGTTTTTAAACTATAATTTTCCACGATTTTACTCGGACATTCCTGTCTGCCTGATGCGTATCAAAATGTAAACAATGTTATGCCTTCATTCATCTCCTCACACACTACGAAATGTACAAAGTCCAACAATTATTTTCAATGTTCATTTATATATATATATATATATATATATATATATATATATATGCAATATTTTTTGATAAAAACGAAACAAGTTCTCTCTAGCCACTGGTGTGTTTATCTAAAATAAATATGCTTAGGTCATCCCTACCATTTGCCAACAGCTCAAAGGTAGATTCTCCAACTGATGCCAATTTAGCCAGGTTTCAATGCAAGTATTGTTGAAAGTGACTAGCAATATGTGGTGGTTGAGTTTTTTATATCATTTCTTATGTCTTCGTACAATTTTTTCTTTTCAGGACAAATTATATAAAAATTGACTGAATGTTTTACAAGTGATTTTGGCTATACTTTTAGCCATTATCAAGGATGAATTTCATTTTACTTTTAACTGAATACATGCATTATTTTATGTATGCATCTAGAGTTACAGGAATGTTTTATATATAATTAGAAATAAGAATAAGCAGCTCCCAAAAGAGTTTGCTTAAGATTTCACACAAGAAAAAACAGTGCTCAATGACATAAAAAATGGCAGATCTTTAGTATATTTGAAATCAAATTTCATGTTGACAGTGACCGACCATGACTGCCAGTTTCATATGCTGTGATTATCATGGTGAATGCTTGTGTAGAATCGACCAACCTTTTTGGATGAGCCAAAGAGAGAGAACCGGCAGACAGCATGACACAATGTCCTCAGACAGGTTTTGAATTCAGAGTACTCATTCTCCTAGACTGGTGACCACTATTTACCCATAGCTGGCGGAGAGTGGTGGTGTAGGATTCATACTTTTCCCAAGGATATTAGCACGTAAGTGAATTTAATGGATTCAACTGGAATTCCTACTCGGCTCTCTGATTCCTCAATTCAAGCCGCTATCCACTAATCCAGCATGCCTTCTCTCAGGTGCTGTGTTTTTATCTAAAAGTAAATACGCTTAAATTCACCTCTGTCTCTGCCATGCGCTAACAGCTTAGGGGCAAAATCTCCAAATGATGCCAATTCAGCTGGGTTTCAATCCTTGCTAGAGGCAAGCGGATCTCTAACCACACTGATGAGCTGTGATACAGCAAAACACTCTGTCTGTGGATGACATATATATATATATATATATATATATATATATATGTATATATATATATATATATATATATGTGTGTGTGTGTGAAATATATTATTATTTATATATTATATGCGCGGTACTTAGAAAGTGCTCAATATCAGAGATAGAGCTAACATATTTGGTTGGATTGATGTGAGTTTGGGTTTTACGCTTTTGCAATTGTCAGACAATCGTCTGATGATGACAAAAGTGTGAAACCCAGGGTCACAAAGTGAATGTCCTTTATTATAAATAGAGCATTTACTTGAATATTTGTATCTATGAGAATGAATAAACATAAAAATATCTTAAAATAATTTTCGGATTTTGTCCATTTCATAATATATATATATATATATATATATATAAAAGAAAGATCAGTAAGATATATAACCAGTGTTCTTATAGATATTTTTATTTTTACAAAATAGCGCTCAATGTAAATTTACAGAGCATTAATATTATAAATTAATTGATTTAAAACATGGTTTTTTCACTATATATATATATATATATATCTTGGGCATAGAAATCAACACAACATGGTGACTTTCAGCTTTATACCTTCAGGAATTATCAGACCATGTGTCACTATTCTTTCTATATGCTCAAGATATAGACCCCTGAAGGGCTGTATGTGAATTGAAGGAAATGTGAACCCTGGTTTCACAAATTTGGGGTTTAATACTAATATTTTTATAATGTCTATAATCCTAAATTTCTTTATTTTATTTATTTTTATTTTATTTTTATTTATTTGTATTTTACTTATTTATTTATCATTTAGATTTATTTAATTTATTTTATCTTATTATCTAAAATAAATCTTAATAGATATAAGTCATACATTCTTATCTGTTTAACCTTTTTAAGCGTGATGTGGCTGTATGTAGCATAGTAGATATTACCTTGTTTAAAATTTGGTATTCATGGAAAAAGAATGCTTACTGTTAGGTTAAGAGTGATTAACAATGAAATCAAAATTGTATGATGATCACCTAAAATGTGAAACTGCCAATCACCATGCAGTGTTGATTCTTATATCTGCACTAATACTTGAACATGTTTCCTGCTGCACAGATTCACCATAAATAATGAGATTTCGTTACAAGGTGCCCACAGCTGTAGGTAAGAGCTAGTAAATAGTCATTTACAATTTTGTACAGGTATTGATGTGTGCACAAGCTTGGGATTTTGAAGCACACTAAAATAAATGTCAAGTGGACCTAGTCATGTGTTCATGTTTGGAACCACTTTGTTATTTTTTCTGCTGAAATTTATTGTAAACAAAGTTCTGTTTCATAAAATTTGTACTTAATATACCAGGAGAAAAAAATAGAAGTTTTTTCTACAATTTAAATTTAAACTGTTTATTTAATTTTTTTTTTTCAAGACTCTACTTCCTGCTGTTATTTTAAAATATATGATGTAACCTTCGTCTCTGATAATAACTACATATCGATAAGAGGGCAAATCTGCAGTTAAAATTATTTTGGTTTGTCATTTTTTAAAAATATTTTTTAAATTGTTTTGTTATGATTTTTAAAAAAATCAGTTATTTATTAAAACAAAAAAAAAATCATCTCAAGGTTAGTTTGATACCTACATTTTTTTTTGTTTGTAATTTTTTGATAAAACATTTACTGCGATATTAAAACAACATATTATGATTTTTTAAACTACTTTTATTTTCTCTGGTGTAATTGCCTTGATAGATCAATGATTCAATTACCACAGAGTAAAGAGAAAGAGTTCGACTCTCAATGAATGCTCCCTGCTTTCGGCCTTGTGCCACATCTGTGCTATGCTTTAGTAAATCACTATTTCATCAATTCTGTTTTTAACACGCAGTAAAATAAAATAAATAATAAAAACGTAAAGATGTATTTTAAACTTTAACGCCATTTCTGTTTTAAACATTAATCTCTAGTTGAAACCCAGAAATTCATAATAATAATAATAATAAATAAATAAATAGAGTTTCTAAAACTAAAGTAATGTCAATTACAAGGTAAAATAGAAAAAAAAAGGTTTAAAGTTTCTCTTTCCTGATGTTGTACCTTAGCTGGGGTTTCGTTTTAGTCGAAATTTAACTCTAAAAAAACTTTTGTATTCCTCTAATTCCTTTGTACCTAAAACCCCAATTTAGTTAGGGTTTCCTTAAATGTTTATTGACGTAAAAAGGATGGCGTCATATTTTTGCAAACAGCTGCGTGGGATGTGATATAAACAATGCCGGAAACAGAAATACAAACAAGAAAGGACATGATCTTTGTTTAAATCTTAAATAGATTAATTAAAAATAGTCATTCTATTCTACTAACTTGGCAAAGATTTATTAAAAGGAATGGTTTTACTTTTATAATAAAAATAAAAGAAGTAAAAAAAAAAAAAAAAAAAGAATTGATTTAAAAATAAAATATACGCACTGCGATAAAACAGAGATCCGAGAAGACATCTGTTCGTCTTCTTTTGGATAATCCTCATCTTTCAGTTCTAAAGCAGACATTGCTTTATCCCCGGCAGATTTCCATGCAGCATCCAGTAGGTCTCCCTGGGGTAAGGTTTCGGGAAAACCGGGGTCGCTGATTTTAACAACACCATTACCGTCGGGTTTCATCAGCACCTCGTGAGCACCACATTTACTACAGGTGATCACATATGCGTCGGAACGTTCTCCTTTCTTGCCGACGTTTCGACCCAGGCATTTCTTACAATAAATCGGAAGTGATGATTGATATAAAGGCGATAAATGGGCAGAAGCGCCTTCACCGGAATTATTATTATCATTATTATTAATATTGGAAGACGTAGCGCTAGCCGTTTCCGATTTCTTCTTCTTAGGCTTCTTAACCTTCTTCTTCGTCGGGTTACTGCTGGCTTGTTGTATTTCCACTGTCTTATTCACCACATTACTCGCAGATTGGCGATCTTTTTCACCCGACATGGACACATCAAGATTATCCAAATTACTATTCTCACATGTTGTAGAATTCTGTTCGATCGAAGTTGGTGACTGTAAACATTTTTCAGCGATGGATTTGGAGTCTGTCATAGTGCCGTCTTCGTCGTCGAATCGAAAAGGAAGCGTGAACTGCAACAAGTGACTACGGCGGCACAATAATGTAATAATTGTATATAAAACGCTGATAAAAAAATCGACTTTAACAGTATTTTTAATATCTATATTATCTCCCTTAAAAAAATAGCTCTTTTTTTTCGATTAAAAATTTTACAAATATATAATAATTTTAAATTCTATTCACTTTAAAATAAGAATAATTTTAAAGCCTGTTCAGTGTTCATTTAAATTCAATACGTTCACTTATTGCCAAGCACACATTTTAGAATATTCTGGATTAAATTTAAAAGATATCTCTTTTAATAATATATCATTCAGTTTTATTTAAATATCTATCATGGTTTAGCATTCACTTTTACGACATTTTTTTATATAGCCTGAATTATTTTATTATTCTTATAAACAATTTAAAAATATTTGCACATTTTTTTCGAAACATCCAATCGAATTATTTCCTTTCTGAGCATCCATACATTTTCTTATTACGTGATTGCTTTCATTTTCATTTTTTATGAAATCCTGTAAAAAGTGAAGATAAAATAAATGTTTATTTAACGTGACTTTTTAAGTAAAACCTTATAAAATAATAATAATAATAAAAAAAACTTTAAAAGCCTGATTTTATAAATACCAAGAATTCATATTTATCGGTTTCAAAAGTTTGAATTAAACATTCTCTTGTTTACTTCGCGATGTTTTGGAATTGCAGATTCATCTCAAGTATTACAGAAAAGTTATTTGAAAAGAACAATGTTCGGAAATTCCCTTAAAACGGGTAACTAAATAATTTAATAAAAAAAATAAAATAAAAATAAAGATTGATGGCTCTTTTCTATAGAATAATCAAATTAAGGAATAAATAAGAAATATCATTTTTGTAATCATTTTTAGTTTTAATTTTACAATAAATGTGCTTTTCTTTTCTTTGTTTACGAAGGGAAAATCCCCAACTTTACAGAGAAAGTAATTACGCATGTTGCTTTCATCTTCTTTTTAATATTTTTTTTTTTTTACATAGAAAAAAAATTATAATAACTTTTTCGGGCAATCATATTTTTTTATCTGTTGGACAATCGTTGTATTTTTTTATATGTAATTATTTATTTATCAATTTTTTTTTATAACCATAATTTTTTAATTTGTAATTTTAGTTTAGTTTAAAATTAAAAATAAAAGTCTGTTTTGTTTTAAAATTGTTCAATCTTTTGAAAAGTGTTAGCAATTTTTGTGTTTGTCTGTTTTTAATTATGTGATTTAAAAAAAAAATAATAGTAGTAATAAAAAATATTCACATTTTTTGTTTTATAAAAAAAAATACATTTTTTTAATTTAAAGTGAGTATTAATTATTTTCTATACTACATCATACCTAGACAAATAAAATTACCAAAAATAGCTACTGTTTTTTGTTTTTATTATTATGAATTTCTTCTTCATAATTATTTACATGAAGATTTTCAGATTTTAAGAGTAAAAATCAAAACAAAACAAAAAAAAAAAAAAAAAACTCAAGTTATTATGCATGATAGGGAGATAAGCCCCATTTTCAAATATTTTTTAACATCTGGCCAAAGAAGCCCCACTAATTGTAGTACTTTTTTTAAGATAACGAACCGCACGTTTACCTCGATCGGAATGATACAAGGTCGAGTTGAAAGTGGGTTGGGATCCCACGTATAAGTAGAACAAAAATTGATCATGACGCCCCCACCCAAACACATCACCCCCCCATCCCTGGAAACTTCCCCTTTTGTGGACGTCATGTTAATGCAGAAAAAGAGCTGAAGCTCCAGCACATATTTTTGATCCCCTTAGAAACAACATGTTTTTAACAAATTTATTTGATGACCTTGTAAACTTTTACGTCCATATATTTCTGATTTAAATATGTTATGTCAATAAATTATTAGCTTAATAATTTATTTGTAATTATTTGTTTTAATTTTAATTTTTACATTCGCTTTTTTTTTTTTTTTTTAGTTTTGTTTTAGGTGGATTTTTGCTTTTCATTTATCGTAATTCTTTTTTATTTCTTATTTGGAAATATTCATCGTATTTTTAACTTCAATTTTTAAAAATGAAACAATTTTTTTTTTATCCTGATAAACAACATTTAAGTCTTTTTAATTTAATTAACAATATAAAAAAATACTTCTTTATAATTAAAAAAAAATAATAATTAATTAGTTTCCGTTATGAAATGAGAACTCAAAAATCTGGGTGGATTTCACATTTCAGTAGATAAAAACAAAATTAAATAATCGAAAGGCAAGCAAGAAGAATAATTTTCCAAAGATTATTTATGACGCAACTTTTCATAAAAGTGTGCGTGCAATATTGCAAACGCTTGATGGTGCTTATTGTAACGTATTTCTCTTGACCACAATTTCACAGCGGACTTGAAACGAATGAAGTCTATATTCTTAACTATTTGAAATGTTTTTTTTTTTCTGTGTCACTTGAAATGTCATATTCATTTGATTTCGGAAAACACTTCCTGCGTTGCTAAGGCAAATAATTTACTTACTTTAGGTTTATTGTAATTAACGCTATGTGGGGATAAAATAAAAACACGAAATAAAATAAAAACACAAAATTAAATAAAATAAAATAAACATTTAAAATCTCCCAGGAGTCCTCTGACAGGAAAGACAATTTACACATGTGCAAAAAAAAAAAAAAAAAAAAAAGAGAGAGATATTTCCTGGCGCCAAAAATAAACTAGAAGAATCTATCTCTTTCTCTGTTGGACCTTTGACTGGTGGATACGTGTCAACTGTTCGGGAAGGAAATTCCCCAACAAGAGGTCGTTAGAATCCAAAAGAAGGAAATAAAATCAGTGTCCTAAACTGTCCCCGTATCCTTCCGTCTTTTCTTTATCTATTTATTTCAGCGACAAATGCAATTCTACAAGTTTTGGATGTTTAGGTGAAAGAATCAACCCAGCAGTAATAGCCATAACATCCATAGCTATTCAAGGGCTTGTCACAGTTTTTTTTTTTTTTTTATCTTCTACGGTTGACGAGATAACTCGCAAGACATTTTACTTTTCTCGCTCTTAATCATACAGTGCAATAAGTAAAAGAATTAGTTATCCTGGAGCAGTTGACGAGATATTTAAATGATATGGCGTCATACAAAAATATTCTGATCTGAAGTGGTTAATTAAGTAAATTCCGTCTCGGTGTGTGTGGGGGGGTAGTGTTGCGGCGTTAAGCAGGTACTGTTAAACCCCGCAAGCACAAAAATTACGTAGGGTAAAATACGATCGAAGCAAGGACAACAAAGGCGAGGATTTCAAAATTTAAGCCATATTTTATTTAATAATTTGGCAAAAGTATGTACAGAAAATTTGGAGTTGTTCAGACGTGAAATCGGAGAGTGCCAGTCGAAGGATCGTTTGTTTTGGGTTCAGGGCGGCAGTTCAGAAGCAGGCAGATGGAAAATGCTGTATCCGAGGTCCAGATTGATCCTCAGATCCGAGGTCCGCGTTAGCGTTCACGAAGTGAGATTGATCCTCAGGATGTTCACCCCGGAAGAGGACCGCGTCGAAGTAGTCCTTAGAAGTTCACGGAACGCTTTTAGACGTTTGTAGCCGACAGTAACTTCCGGCCGGGTGCGATAGTAGGTCGAGACCAACCTGTTCGTTTTTAAGTAGATTTGAAGAATTATTTTGTGATAGAGGATGTGGCGGGTTTGGTTAACTCCTCCTTTAGTCCTTTCACCAGGGTATATATTCCTTAACGGCTATTCAGGCCTGTTTTCGGCGGTGACGCTTTTTAGACGTTTGACACCTTGAGGTAAATCTCTCTTTTACCTCAGGTAATCAACCCGAAATGGCCGGGATGCGATAGTAGTGACACGCACGCACATACAGAACCAACAAAAACTAAAGATTGATTGATCAGTCTTTTTTTACGGCTTCTTCTTTAGATTTCAAAGAAGAATTTTTTGGGCTTGGCAGGAGGACGGTTTCTTCTTCAATGGTGGCGGTGATGAGTATGTATTGTAGAAGACATGTGGGGAGAATTTCCTGCTAGCCAGTCCAACTACATGGGAAAGTTGGACTTTAATTAAGTCCAAAGAAAAACAAAGAAAACAAACAAGACCGATAAATATATGTAAACAAATATATGTATTAATAACAAGTTAAAGGTTACAAATTACATGGACAGTTATATGGACAGAGTGCGTGTGGTGAATATTATGTATGTGTGTGTTGTGGTGAATGTTCGTACGTACGTGTATTGTTCTTCGCGTATACCCAGAATTTGGGAAACGCTGTATCTGTGAGAGCTCACGTCTACGAGGTGGTATAAAGCCCAAGGCCTGAGGAAAAAAGAGATCGAGGCGAAGAGTCAGCTAGTATTTATAGGCATGGGAGAGAGACCCCTGGTGAAGGATTAAGGAACTGAGGAGGAGCTAACTCCGACAAGATAATAATTATTTAATGATACTAGTTCTACTAATTAATCCAGGGCTGGGTGGGTGGTGGTAGAATAAGTGGATTCATGCCTTTCCCAAGGGTATTTGTACATA